TCATAAAATTGATGTCAAAAAAGTGGGTTAAGTGGGTTTTCGTAAGCTAACTAATTTTTCATAATTCTCTGATGTATTGTTTTAAGTTCAAGAAGAGTATTCAATTTGCGACTTGAAGGAGTTTCCGGTTTTCCAGCTCTTTTTTGCTGCCTCTGCATTTTTTGCCCACTCGCGCGAGGTTTTGCACAAATGATGTAAACAAATTTCAAGGAAAACAATTTGGATAATTACATTATTTTGATGGAGAGTAACAGTTATTACGTTGATTCAAAGGGAGAAGGAGGAGCCTGGGAGGATTGGGATGATGATGAGCTGCCGAGATCCGCTGTGTGGTCGCTTATGACTGACGACGGGATAATTGCAGGATTGCCCGGATTGCACGGCATGCAAATGAGCTAGGGTACTTAACCCTGATTCGGGACCAATCATAAAACACATTTGCCTCAATTATATACTTGGCCAACTGGCCGAAGCTTTCCGGTCCGGCATCTCGTCATCTCATCGTCTTTGGCTCAAAGCAAACTGAATTGCATTCTGGGCCGGGCCGGCTTACATTTATAGCTTTCGCAATAACCACAGGCTGCTGCCAGCAACAAAGTGGCATTTTCATTACGGGAAAACCGAAACCGAAGCGCTTCCACTTGGCCAACTTACACCTGCCCGGCATCGGCAGTGGCATCGGCCTCGATTCAATTGCAGCTCCAATTTATTCAATTATTATTATAAGCCATGGCATGCCACGCCCCAATCGCTTTGGCCGAAAACGCCCACGATGGCTCGATGGTTCGATGGGCAGGCAGGTTGGCAGGCAATTGAAATTGATTTGCCGAAAATGCTCGGCGCAAAATTGTCGGTTCGGATGAGGTTGTTGTCAGAGGCCGAAACAATTTCCCAGCGCATTTACATAATTTCCCTTTGTGTTGCAACGCTCCGAAACTCTGAAATTGTAAACTCTGGCTCTTTCTGACTCTTTCTGGCTTTTCTGGCATCTGCGGTTTTCCTCCCGGGCTCGTTACGCTTGTGATTTTTCCAATGAATATCGTTAGCATTTCATTAAGGGGCGGCGATATTGCGGTTGCCTCGCTGCCAGCGCTCCTAATCGTAAATATTTCGTGTAAATATTTATACATTTGTCGGACTTCTCCGTTCGGGGGCAAAACGGAACGCATAAACATGTCGATAAAGAATCCCCGAGCAGGTTCTTCTCTCCTTTGCCCCAATGAGTTTTTTTTGGGTACTGGCGATCTGGAGATCTGGAATCCGGTATCTGCTGGGATCACGAAGCCTGCAGTGTGGATGTTCCTCCTGGTTTTGATGAACTCTTGGCATCCGCTGGATATTCGTTTCCCCTTCGCCTTCGCCGCTTTTGTTCCAGCTACCCAGCTGCGGTCCCCACTTTGATTGTCTTTTAATTAAACGACAGGCGAACAATAAAAAATGCTCCGAACTGGTTTCATTAATTTTCATAGCCCTCTAACCCTCCCCGCCTCCTCCTCTCCCTCCTTGGTGCAGTGTAATTTAAGTTCCCAATGCGCTATATCTTTTCTACCTGTCGGTCGGTTTGTTGTATTTGCTTTATGGCTGTCAAATTTGCTGCTTATCAGGCGCTTTATCTACATCTCCGCCTGTCGTCGTCGCTCTGTCAATAGGAATGACTGTATTGGGGGCTGGAGGTGCATTTTCTCGGCTTATCTTATTGGAGCAAACGAAAATGCAATCCACTAAATACGTGGAAAAACCTTTAATTGGTTGCAGGCCGTCTGATAAAGTTACTTTCGAGTGGGCAAGCAGCAGCTGATAAACTAGGAATTTACTTAGTTGCCAGTTTGTTTGGTTCAAAGTTTTACTTTTTCAAGGGTTGCAGTCACACTTTAGTGAGTAGTAAAAAAATTAAATAGTTTAATAGTGAATTTGGAGGAATAATTTACATTTTGGGAAGTACATTTTTATAGGTGATTCAATGGGCATTTAGTTTTTACCGACGTTTGTCTGATGGTTGCACATTTTCTAAGAAATAGTTTTATTTTTATTTATTTTTTATTGCCTCATTGATTTCGTAGTTGATATTGGCGTTTTCTACTTAAAATATTTAAAGGCGTTGTTAAAGAATTAATGGTAGATATTTGTAGTGCTCTTGAGTAAAGTTAAGTGTCCGTTTATTTGTACCTGTCTGTATTTAACTACCCATTCTAAATAATTCCTCTGTTTGAGTTACTTGATTGCCGGCTGCTGGCTCGGAATTCCTGCCCATGCCCACCTCTGTTTAATTTGTTGAAAATTAAAGTCACGCCGTTGATATAATTCCACTCCATTATGTGACAAGACAACTCGGCGATCCGAGTTCTTTTATTCCACCTCCTTTGCTGCTTTTTTTTTTTTTGCAAGATTTGTTGTTGCTGCAGTCGTTTACCTTAATTCGCCTGTCCAAATTGCTATTTATATGCATCGCCCTCGCTTTTAATTTGCAGCGCAAATCACGAGCAGCCCCGCCACCGATCCTACAGTATAAACTTTGTATATGTATATATATGTATATATATATAGGAGGGTATGGCTGTAGGTTCACCTACTCCTCCTGCAATCGAAAAACAAAATCAACAGGTGGCGCGCATATTTCAACATGCGGCTGCCAAGCGAACCGAGCGAAATATCAATAAAAATGCCATTTGTTGCGATTGTGCACGGAGCCGAGTCTCGAAGATTGGGGAGACTGGGGAGCTGGATCCGAGGATCCAGGGATACGGGGATCCGGGGAACGGAGAGTCTTCGGCCTGAGAACCTCTGGCAGCCACACATAGATAATTTCCCCAGCAACCTGGTCTTTTGATGATATTTCTGCTCGGTGTGTCTTTTTTTGGCTTCGCTTAATTTATTGGCCACACTTTGCTGTTGCTGCTGCTGCTGCTGCTGTGTCTGCTGTTGCTGTTGCTGCTGCATTTAAACGACAAGTGTTGCAAATAAAAAGGAAAAATTAAAGCGGTGCAAATTAGAGGTGGAGAGAAAAGCGGTGGTAAACGATGGAAAACCAAAGGCGACGTCAACACCAGAGGGCCGAAGCAAAAACGTGTTTGCAGCTAAAAACTATTAAAAAAGCGCCCAGATTGCAGTTGTTTTGTTGGTGGTGCGACGGTCGATGGTGGTGGTGGTGGTGTTGCTGGTGGTGATGCAGTGCAAGTGACTTGGTCGCGGTGGCTTAATAAAGGCAGCCAGGTTTAGGGTTAACATCCCAGCGCCAAAGGCCAAAAGTGCTGGCCAATGCAAACAAACAAACAAAAAGTGTTGCTGCTGTTGCTGTTGCCGTTGCTTTTGCTTTTGTTGTTGTTGTTGTTGTTGCTGGTGCTGGTGCTGCTGCTCGAGCACGCCAGCAACATGTGTACTTGCAGCAAAAAGTCCAAAATGAAGACATGAGCCGCAGCCAAAGAGCCGGAACCAGACCAACGGCAACAGAAACAGCAATGTCGACCTTCTTTTGTGAGGCCCAGCTGCATAATTGCTATGGCAACAGCCAGGCTAACGAGTTGGGGTTGCGAGTCGCCAGTTGCTGCTAGCTGCGACTTGCTAGTTGCTATTGCTAGTTGCCAGTTGCCGGGGGACAAGTGGAGACCTCTCTCAGCTGACAGTTGAGAAATTAGAACGGTTTTTGTCTTCCAAATCACATGCACGTGTTGCTCCAGTTGTTCCCCGCAAGTTGCCGTCGTCGTTTTGTTGGTCGCATCCTCGAATGATTGGCGGCTGCTGCAGGTTGCAGGTTGCAGGTGCGTGCTGCCGTTGCAAGAGCTGCCGAAGCAAGTGTTCTCTAAGGTCAGACTCCAGCCAAAACCCAGTTGGGGCGAGCTTAATCAAAGATTTAATTTAGCTTGATTCCTACTCTTAAATTGCTTAAAAGCATTTTTAAAAGGAAAGGAAAAATTTAAATAATTTTTGTAAAACTAGATAGGGCTTCTTTTCGTACTCTATTTAAATTCTAAGGTTTTGTAATTATTAAAAATATTTTTTTTCCAAATTTGCTAGGCATCCGTTTTCTCTAAAAGTGTATTTCAAAGTGCATTTCGTCTTTAATCTTCTTTAGAGGGAACATCCTCCTTCCTTTGCAGACTAAATGATTTTAATGTCTGTTTGTTTGCGCAAATCTTCATCTTTGTGGCTGCTGCATCTTGTTGTTGCTGTTGTCCTGTTTTGTCTTAAAGGTAAAGCTTTCCCCCATGAGTTGCATATTCGATTACCGACCGACACAATTCCGACACGGGCCTCCTCATTGAGGGTTTGTTTAAGCAATCTGCGTAGGTGGACATTGGCGCATGTTGTTGCTGTTGCCGCTGTTGCCGCTGTTGTTGTTGTTGCTGTTGCTGGTGGGTTCATTTGTTGCCGTACGTGATTGCCGGTTGTTGCCGTTGATTATTGCCTCTCGCGGCACGCATATAAATCTCGGTGTTTAAATCTCGAGTTAAACTTGTAAATTAAAACCTTAATGAGTCTATGGAGTGGAGTTTGTGTTTAGTGCCACGCTGTGCAACATGGTCAGGATTCTTGAGGAAAGGAGCAGGGGTGTGATTTATGCCGTTCACGAACACTGTAAGAAACACACCGGGTTCCGAGTGTTCTTAGATTATATTTGCAAATACCTCCAATTGAATCTCACTCCCTCGCAGTCGCTAAGAAATAGCGTGTTTATTTCCTTTACGATCGCCAGCAATTAGTTGGCCACAATCACATGCAAGCCACTCTCGAAGAAATCCCACAACCGATGGCTTTATGTTGATTTCTTCGGCTAATTAATGCCCAGTGAATATTCTCACGCTTGGCCAGAAAAAAAGAAGTCAGAACACAGAGGAAAAAAGACAACCGCAGAACATGTTCTCCTTCAGCTGACCAACAAAGTGTAACAATCTCCTGCTTCCTCAATTTAATTTGCATATTTATGCCTGCCCACGAGTTGATTAATATCCGACAACTAACTCGGCCGCTTTTTTATTGAGATGATTGCATAATTATTTAATTACCTTATAAATATTGCTGTTCAGAGAGCCAGCTCCTTGTGTCCCCAGCAACAGGTGGCACTTGATTGCCAAAGGTCACAGGCGTAAACCAATTAATTTCTGTATATTTCGGGGCACTAATTTTGTTGGTTTCTCTGATTTTTTTTTTTTTGTAAACACTTGTTTCGCAATCGCTTGAGTTATGCACACACACTTTTTAACTGTTACGAAATAGGCTGCAACTTTAATCCGCCTGGCAACCTGTCTCTTTGCGATATTCAACCGAAAACTAGCAACATGGGCACGACGAACACGGCTTATGTTGCTGCTGTTGGTGCGATGTTGCGATGTTGCTGCTGCTACTCCGACGACGACGTTCGCTTCCGCTGACTCAACGCAAACGACTAAAAAAGGCCCCATAAATTTTGATGCACATTCAATAGGCCAGGCCAGGCATTCAGCTGGCTGCTGGCAGCAACGGCAACACATACACCAGCAACACATACACCAGCAACACTTACACCAGCAACACGAGCAACACAAGCAACCAGCAACCAGCAACAGCGACGCCGGCAGCAGCAACCAGTTTCCTTCCATTCACACGGACATTGTTTGTGGATCGCAAGTGGGTCGAATGGCATCCACACTCGGCCTTCCAGCTTCCACATTTGGCCCGTTTACGAGTTGCCCAGCGGTTTGTTATCTTTTATGATAAGAGCCCAGGCAAACCGCTTTTTACGACCCGAAGCTTCATAATTTTTAATGCCCACTTCTGGGAGCCGCCTTAAATTGATAATTTCCACTATTTCTTCAAATGCTTATGCCTGCCTGACTAATTAATTGATGGCTCAATTAGGGTTAGTGCTCCTCAAATGGCTGGATAGTTAGTTAGGAGGAGGCTCCGATGCTCGGTTGATTTTTATGATTGCCGCAAACATCTTATTGCCACGCCATTCGGTTTTTGCGGTGAAGTTGCACTTAACAAGAAAGGAAGCCAGCTTCGGCGAGCTGAAAATTGAAACCAAATTAATTCAGTTTCTTATGAGAATTTGTCACAAGTATTTTCAGGTACACCAATCCAGAATCAGACATCATTTAGAAAAGTTATGGGCTTTTAAATGCTGATTTGGGCCATCTTCCGAAAAAGCCATTTAATTTCAAATGTATTTAAATGAAAACACAGTTCCTTTGGTGTTTAAGCGTACAATTTGTTAGGAGAAAATCAGTGTAGTAAAAGTTCCGGCTCTTAACTGTTAACTAAAGTGGCAACTTTGTCTTTAGCCAACAACCACGCCCCACGACCCCGCCCATTTAGCCCATTGAGGAGGCAGAAATTAATTAAAAATGCATTAAAAATGTTTGCCTCTCGCATTTCCGAGTAGGAAACTCCCCTTTTCTTCTGTTTCTCGATCTCGGCCCCATTGCCGTTGAAATGCCAATCGCAGAAGGCAAAAGACGCATACAGCAAATACTCGAGAGGAGCAAGAGTAACAACAACAACAACAACAGTAAATACCGCGAATACGAACTGAAATGGCGGAAAATCTTTTCCCCACTTTTGCACAACTCCAAAGTATTTACAAGCTTCAGTTGGCAGTCGCATCTAAAAATGTTTGGCATTTGCCAACACGCACCAATGAATAAGTGAGTTCAAAGGGGGGTTATGGGATGGCAAGGCGTAAGGCGGTGGAAAATCGGCGGCGGAAAAGAGTTGAGGTAAGTGAAAATGTTTGGATTTCAAACGAGCTCATTTCTAGCGTGCGTTGCTGCATTTCGAAAATGATTTGCAATGCGGTGGGTGGAGAGAGATTTTGAATGGGGAACGGGGACCTTGCCACAGGGATTGGCAGGAAGTGCTGGGCGGTTGCGGCACGGCTCCTCCCGCTGTTAGATGAACTCCAGGGACCAGGCGAGCGGAACGATCCGATCAGGAGAACTCCACAGACGGCAGACGGCAGACGGCGTGACTTGGATGAGTTATCGTCGCGACCACGCGTGCGTCTTCCGTATGGGCACTAAATATTCGTGCACAGAGAAAAAAACCTTGAAACTCTCATTTTATTGTATTTTAAAGTGGGTAAGTGCACGTATTAAAAAGATTGGTGTGCTCTATGTCCTTGTATTGCAAATAGTCCGTTCATAAGTTTACCAAAACAAATTAGAAGTTATAAAAGTTTTAAAATTTTAAATATTGTTATGTATTCTCCAAAATCTGTTATGCTTTTTTAAATGTGTATTTCAATACGCAATATTTTATAAATAAATACTTTAAAAGAAAATCTGATCATCCTAAAGGTTTCATAAAAAGATTAAAATAATGAAAACCAGCGCAGTGGAGATTATGCTGACTTTCCTTGAATTTGAGACGTTGTTTATATGCAAAATTCAACACTATATCAGCAATTACCGAGTTATTTATTTTTTCTCTGCACTCGTGTGTGTGCAAATGAGTGTGTCTGCGAGTGTGTGCGTCTGGGTGTTCCTCTGCGCTGCCTGCTGTGTAAACAAAAGGCGGCCATAAAACTGCAACAGTACTCATAATTTATGACAGGCGGAAAAAAGTGAGTTGACTGATAAGCAACTGGACATGTTGGCACTCTAACGCAAGCCAAAGGGGTTTTCTTTTGGCGGGAAAGGGGTTTTCCGCTGTGGTTCCTAAGTCAGCCGCAACAGCAACATCTTCAGAAGAACTCACGAGCAGCAGCCGAACCCGAACACGAGACTCGGTTGGTTGTTCTAGTCGCTGATGTTGCCACAAGTCGCAAGTGGAAACTGTTGCTGCCACTTCTGTGCGCCGCATCACTTGGCAGCGTGTTTTTTGTCGCCGCGTCGACGTCAGCAGCAATTGCTGCTGCTGGGCGACACCGGCAACATGTCGCTGGTACGCCTGCGATTCCAGCTGAAGTTCTATGTTGCCAAGAGGTGTTTTCGGTGGGGGGAAAAGGGGGAGGAGCAACTGAACCAGTTGTTGTTGGGGGATAAGTCTAAATATGGGCTCAAAGTAAAGGGGTCCCCCTTGATTTTAAGAACAAGTTCTAACAGAAGGATGAAAAGATCTTTTATAGGTGAACAGTAGGCAGTATGAAAACTATGATGATACTTAAGTTAAAGTAGGTTTTTACTTTCTAATTAAAGTGAAATAATCCGTAATAAAACAGTAGTACATTTTTAAAAACACTTTATAATTATTAAGTATGTTTGTGTTCTGTTTGAATACCAAGTAAATAGCTAACTTTTCAATTAGTTCTGTGCCTGTTTTTTATAGAATGTGGGCTCCAAGCCAAACTGTTAATTATCGAAAAATGTTAATGATCGCTCGTTTTGGCTCGCTGTGATTCCTCGGCTAATGAAGTTCCCCCACTGTTACCATTTTCCCCGCCACGACTGCAATTTGACGTGTGCTTAGACAAACTGAGATCCGAGGCAATGACAACTGATTTATGGTGTTCAGTTCGCGGCGAGACTCCAGTTTTGAGCTTGAGGTTTGTGCCCCGCGATTTGCATGTGTAATTGCCTCGCTTGGCTTACATCTTGCGCAGCTTCAATCCCACAATCCAATCCCGTGGCTCGTTTTCCGTTCTTCGTTTGAAGCCATTTCAATTCCCATTCCCATTTCCATTCCCCAATCCCCCAGTACCAACCAATTCCAGTTCCAATCGCACTGTCATTAGTTGGCGTAGTTTTTGACAGCTGAGAGTGGCCCTGGTGGTGCTGGTGGTTCATTTATGACATTCGCTGGCTAATTGCCGGCACTGAATAACCGCTAAAGTTTCATACGCCCCGTGGGCGGGGCTCGTGCACTTTAAAAACGCATTTAACAGCGACAACAAATGTGGCAAGCAAAAGGGTAAAGATGGGGAACCGAAATGGGAAAGGGGGCAACGAGAACAGCCCAAAAGTGCCACTTGCAACATGGTTGGGGCGTGCCCGTATTATGCATCTGCAGATGACTGCAGAATGGGAAACGATTAATGAACAACGCCAAGCTTTTTAAAAAATGTGAAATTCAATTAATCAGTTAAAAAGAAAATACAATGCTCAAAAGATTTAATAAGATATTTTAAAACTTCAAAATATGTATTTAAACATAAGCATTAAATAAGTTTAATAATATCTTATTGATCTTCGATTTAAAAAGAAGTTAATTATATTTATACTTACCTAAGTTCTTAACTTAATTTCTCTTTGTGGACTTATCTGCAGTATAACACTTTTACCTGCTGCTTGTTGGCCAAGATAAGATCAAAGATCACTGAGCAAGTTCAGCTTGTGGATGGTTTCGTGTGGCCATTGTGTTGCTGCTGTTAGAGTTGCTGTTGCTGCTGGTGTTGCTCTTGCTGTTGCTGCTGTGAACAAGGCTGGTGTTGCTGGTGGCACGCGAGTTGCTGCTGTGCAGCAGGTCAAAAGCGTGCAGAGCTAAAAACGGTAGCCATGATAAATGTGGCCCATAGAATCTCCGACTGCTTCTGCCTTACATTGTTGCTCCGGTGTCAAAAGTTGTTGCTGTGTCAAGTGTTGTTGCTGCTGCTGTTGCTGCTTCTGCGTCCGATGTTGCTGCTTTTTTCCCCTTTGCTAATGTTGACAATTTAGCACAAAATTTGTATGCCATGATATTAAGAATTCGCAACGCTTTCATGCAACATTTGCCGGGGCAATTAGTTGTGTTTATAATTGGGAACGTGATTGCTGTGGTGTCTTCAGTTTTTTGTGTCTCCCCTCCTGTGGTTTCAGCTTTTTTGGGCGAAACATGTTTGAACGCTATAAATCAATTTGGCGCAGGGCTGTCGAAGGATGCATACATAAATTCGGGAGAAATGGTGCCAAACCGAATCGGAAATTCTCTTTTATGGGAAAATGACATGAAAACAAAAATCCTTTTCTTAGGTTTATTGCAAAACAAAATAAAGTCGACCTAATATCCAAAACCAAGCTTTCATTTAACTAAAGATTTGTTAATTTCATATATTTTAGATAGCATTTAAAATTAACTTACTTTTCATTCTATATCCTTCTTGGGTTCAGCTTACCAATTATTCAGGGAACTCGGTTTTTTGCCTGCTCTCTTTTACCAAAGCTCAAATTGAAATCGCATAAAGGGACCGAACAAAAAATATAAGCCAAAGCGAATTAAAATTTTATCGACAACAAAGTTGCGGTCCGACCAGCAATAAAAATTGTTACGCTGATGAACGACATGACACCAGCAACAGCAGCGGCAGCAGCAGCAACTACACCAAAAACATGCAGCAACAGCAACTGATCGACCGCAGGAACAAGCAGCAGCAACAGCAACATCAACCGTAACAACAACAGCAACATCAAGAGCAGCAGCAGCAGCAGCAGCAACAACAACAACAACAGCACTCAGTGGACCGCATCGCGAAATTCTTTCCTTTTTTTTTT